ACAGCGCCTTCGGCGAGCGCACGCAGACGGCCTACCTCGCGCCGTTGCTCGAGGCCTTCGACGCCCCGGAGCGCGGCGGCCTTCGCCGCGCTCGCCGCGTCGTCGAAGGCCTCGAGCAACGGCGCGAGGTAGGCCGTCTGCGTGCGCACGCAGAAGGCGCTGTGGTCGAACTTGGCCCGCTTCGCGGCGACGTCGTCGTCCTTCGCGTGCGGGTCCTTGGCGCGGCCGGCCGCCTTCTCCGCGGCCTCGAGCTTGCGCTTCCGCGCGAAGTAGTCCATGACGAGGTCGTGGCGGTGCTTCGCCACGTCCTCGATGCGCCGCGCGCACTCGAGCACGCTCCCTAGACCGCCGAGAGCCCAGCCCTTGAGGAGCTGGCCGCGGACGGCCCGGTCCTTCGCGCCCGCGACGGCCTCCGCGACGGCCTTCGTGTCGTCGGCGCCCGCGGGCGGGCTGCCGCCCCAGTCCACGGCGCCGGCGTCGTCGTAGCAGGCGACCAGGTCCAGCAGCGCCTCGTCCGCGCTCCGCGTCAAATTCCCGTACGCCTCCGCGCGCTTCAGCAGCTCGGCGACGTCCGCCGCCGTCGCGCGGAACCGCGCGAGCTCCTCGTCGACGTCGCCCGTGTTCTCGTCCTTCTCGGCCTTGGACAGGCCCAGCTTCTGCATCGCGCTCTCCTCGAGGCGCCGCCGCCAGGCGCTCGACCCGATGCCCCCGGCCATCTTGTCGGGCTTGTCCTTGTCCGGCTCGTCCTCCTTGTCCTTCTTCTTGCCGAAGCCCATCTTCAGGCCCTTCATCTTCGAGCCCATGCCCTTCATGGTCGAGTGTGCGTTCGGCAGCGCTGCCCAATGCGACGGCCAGACGCTCTCCCGGCCTTTTATTGCCACTTCACAAACAGCGAGTAACTTTTAATTAAAAACATCCTCAAGCATGGTGTTGCAAATCCTGTCAAGCATGGTGTTGCAAATCCTGCTGCTGAGCGCGGCCGCCACCGCTTTCGTGTCTCCACATGCGCGCGCACGCGCGCCGGCGAGCGCGCTGCGCGCCGTCCCGGCCCAGGACTGGACCGCCGGCTGCGAGACGTTCACGTGGGAGAGCTATGCTATTCGCTACTGCAAGGAGCAGGGCAAAGCAAAAGGGTGATTCAACGCCGCTTCAACGTGAGTGTTCCGCGCGCGCGCGTTTCGGAAATAGCACCCACGCTTCGAGAGCGCTCCGAGAGATGATCGCTCGTCCAAAAATCAGCCGAAACGACGGAAAACGGCCGAGATAGGAGCCTTTGAAGTTGGGAATTTCGCACCCTTTTGCTGCCCAGGCAAGGAGGGCGCCGGCCCGCCGCTCGTGCTGCTCCACGGCTTCGGCAGCTCCCTGGAGACCTGGCGCGCGAACGCGCCCGCGTTGGTCGACGCGGGCTACAGCGTCTACCGCCTCGACTTCCTCGGCCTCGGCCTCAGCGAGAAGGCGCCGGGTCCCTACAGCATCGAGCGCTGGGCGAGGCAGGTCGGCGCGTTCCTCGACGACCAACGCCTCGACGCGCCCGTGCTCGTGGGCAACTCCATCGGCTCGCTCGTCGCGCTGCAGGTCGCGTCGGAGCGGCGGGTCCGCGGCCTGCTGCTCAACAACTGCGCGGGCGGCATGAACAGCAAGTTCAGCGGCCGGGAGCCGTCGTTCACGCCGCTCCAGCAGGCCGTCACCCAGGTCGCCTTCGCCGTCATCGACGCGTTGCTGGCGCGGGAAACGCTCGCGCGGTTCATCTTCGACGGGGTGCGGTCGCCGGAGAACGTGCGCCGGGTGCTCGGCAACGTCTACGTCGACGGCGACCGCGTCGACGCCACGCTCGTCGACAGCACGCTCCTGCCGGCGGAGGACCCGAGGGCGCTCGCGGTCTTCGTCGACATCCTCACGGGCGACCCGGGCCCGCGGCCCGGGGATCTGGTCGAGCGGACGGACGCGCCGATCCACTGCTTCTGGGGCGACGCGGACCTGCTGACGCCCCTCGACGGGCCCACGGGCCTGCTGTTCCGCGGGCTCGCCGACGCCGGCCGGTGCTCGCTGACGATCGCGAACGCGGGGCACGTGCCCCACGACGACGCGCCGGCCGCCGCGAACGCGGACTACGTCGCGTGGCTTAGGACGCTCGCCTAGCGCCGCTCCGTAGTGAGCTCGGATTTACAAGGGTGATGAGAGGGGGCGAGGACGTGGGTGGTGGCGGCCGGCGGCCGGCGGCGCGGCGCCGGCCGGCCGTCCGCCGTTTTTTTCGTGAGTTCGGGGCCGCGGCGGGGGTGGGGCGGGGCGGGCGGGGGCGCGCGCGCCGCCTAGCAGCAGCCGCCGCCGCCCTTGGTGTCGATCTGCTGGCCCTTGGAGATGTTGACCTTCGTCTGGGCCGCGGGCGTCGGCTGCGTCTGCATCCACTTTCTGATCTGGCCGGCCATGGTCGTGAAGGCCTTCTCGACGTTGGTCGAGTTCTTGGCCGACGTCTCGAGGTACTGGATGCCCAGGGAGTCCGCGAACTCCTGCGCCTGCTCGGTCGGCACGGCCCGCTTCGACGCGAGGTCGCACTTGTTGCCCACGAGGAGCTTCTTCACGTTCTGGCAGGCGTACCGGTCGATCTCGTGGAGCCACTGCTTCACGTTCATGAACGACTCCTGGTCCGTGACGTCGAAGACGACGATGATGCCGTGCGCGCCGCGGTAGTACGACGACGTGATCGTCCGGAACCGCTCCTGGCCTGCGGAGGCGGGGGGCGGCGCGTGGCGCGGGGCGGGCGCGGGGGTCGGTAGGGGGCGGGCGCGCGGGCGGCGCGGGGGGCGGGCGGGCGGGGCGGGGGGGTCCCGGGGCCGCGCGCGGCGCCGCGGCGGTTCGGAGGTCCGGCGGACGCGGCGCGCGCGCCCGCGGTGTCCCAGATCTGGAGCTTGATCGTCTTCCCCTCGAGCTCGATGGTCCGGATCTTGAAGTCGACGCCGATGGTCGAGATGTAGGACTCGGTGTAGGTGTCGTCGGCAAAGCGGAGCAGCAAGCACGACTTGCCCACGCCGGAGTCGCCGATGAGCAGCAGCTTGAACAGGTAGTCGTACTCGCTGTTCATGGTGCCCGGCCGCGGTCGTCGGGACGCCTCCGAACGCTCCTGATCGCGACCTGGGCGCGGGCGGCGGCGTGCGCAAGGAACCCGCGACGCGAGTCGAATACCGAGTTGGCTCGATGATGAACCACGAGTGAGCGGCCAATACGTTCGCCGGGGTCGAAGCGTACACGCGGCGTTCGGCGTGCGTTCGGGACGTCCTCGAGAGCCGTCGCAGCCGCTGTCCGCGATCCGCAGCACGCGGAGCCGACCCCCTGCGCGCCGCGCCCCCGCCTCTCGCCGCCGCCCGGTCACAGTCCCCCACACGGCTCCGGGAGACGTATGCGGCGCAGATTCGACGGGCAAATTTTATTCGACGAGTCAAGGAGGGATACGCTCTCTCTCTCTCTCTATCGGCGTCCGGGGAAGACAAAGAAGCCGCGATGCGGGCGCCTCGAAAGGATACGTGATACCTTGCCCACCGAGGCTGCCCATTTTTGACGACGCAAGCCCGCTGCCTGCTCGATAACATGATGAAGTCGGTCGTTTTCGCGCTCTCCCTCGCCGTCGCGTCGGCGGCGAACCTCCGCGCCTCCGCGGAGCCCAAGGCCGAGGCGCGACGCGGCGTCCGACGAACCGCGGGGCGCCCGGGGCCGCCGCCGCCGCCGGCCGCGAACGCGCCCTGGAACGCCCGCGGGCGGCGCGGCGCCGGCGGCGGCGGGGGCGCTCGCGGCCGCCCCGCCGGCGCTCCGGGGGACGGGGGCGCGAGATGCGCGCACGACGCTCACCGTTTCGTTTCTAGGTCCTCGTGTCGTCGGACAACTTCGACGACATCGTCACGTCGGATTCCGCCGTCTGGGTCGTCAACTTCTACGACAGCGCCGCGCCGGAGACGGAGAAGTGGGCGTCGACCTGGACGAGCCTCAAGTCCGAGATCCAGGAGGTCAAGTTCGCGTCCGTCGACGTCGAGTCGAAGAAGGGCCTGAAACTCGCGAAGGACCTCGGCCTCGCGGGCTCGATGCCCGTCGTCGCCATGGTCAACCACAAGGACGGCGCCGAGCCCGTCGTCCTCATGAAGGGCGAGGTCCAGCAGCTCACGCGCATCCGCAAGAAGGTGCTCCACAACACGAAGGACCTCCACAAGGTCGCGGGCTACTGGCAGAAGGAGAAGGCGAACTAGGCTGGTCGCCCCCGAACATCCCCGCACCTCGCCCGCTCCCCCGCCCCCCTTAACAAGCCCCTGAATGTAGCCGCCGCTCCACGCGCCGTCGCTGGAAGAGGGCAGAACGATTCAACGCCCCCGGGCGCGTGAAACAAGCCGCTTAACACGTCTAGCCGATGGTCGGCGCGGACTCCGGGCGCATGGCCATGTCCGTGTTCTCGTTCGCGTCGAAGGAGCCGTCGTCGACGAAGGCGACGGCCGCGGTCGCCGCGGTCATGTCGAGGGGCTCGCGGAAGTTCTTGTTGATGACCTTGCCCTCGGGCAGGCCCACGTTCGTCGCCGCCTCGCGCTTGATGGCGTCGGCCGCGTTGATGATCTCGTCCGCGCACATGAGCCCCGACTTCGTCGCGCCCTCCATGGAGTCGATGTAGTCCTGGTAGGTGTAGGACCCCGCGAGGAAGAAGTTGGGGATGGGCGTCGCCTGGCTCGGGCGGAACTTGTCCTGGCCCGGCTTCTCGCGGTAGAGCGACTGGCCGAGCTTGACGACGTTCGACCACGTGCACTTCAGCTCCCGCGACGACGGGAAGAGCCTGTGCATCTGGTCGAGCGTGTCCTGGACGATGACGTCGTCGGGCCTGTTGTACGCCCGCGAGTCCATGACGGCCTGCATGAGCGACCCCTCGCCCTCCTTGTAGTACTCGCCCGGCGACGTCAGCGCCAGGTCCGCGAAGCAGGAGAACTCCGCGTCCGCGGAGTAGAGCAGGTTGTCGATGCCCGGCGCGCGGCCGTCGCTCAGGTCGCCGGACACGTCGTGCATCTTGTGGCCGTCCCGGAGCTCCGTGACCCAGCCGTCGAAGCGCAGCTGGACGGTCGCGATGGGCACGGCGTCGAGCTCGTAGATGTTGTCGAAGGCCGGGAACTGGCGGAAGGGCTTGGGCAGCACCTTCTTCACGCCCGGCAGGTCGCAGGCGCAGACCACGGCGTCGAACTCGCGGAGCTCGTTGCGCACCTGGAGGCCCGTGATCTTCGACGGCAGGCCGTCGGCGCCCGTCTCGTACGCGATGTCGCGGATCGCCGTCCGCAGGTGGATCGTCGCGCCGCGGTCCTCGAGGTACTTGACGATGGGGTCGTGGAGGAACGTCTGCGGCGACCCGTCGAGCATGCGCAGCACCGACGCCTCCGTGCGGATCGCGAAGAGCATGAAGATCGTGAGCATGCACCGCGCGGAGATCTTGTCGCAGTCGATGAAGCCCAGCGCGTAGGCGATGGGGTCCCACATGCGGTCGATGGACCCCCGCGACCCGCCGAGGCCCGTGAACCACTCCGTGAACGTCATGTCGTCCAGGTCGCGGACCATGTCCATGCCTACCACGCGCGTCGGTAAGAATTTTTCATCGTTTTTGCGGTCAAAATCTCTCGAAAATCGTCACGGATGCAGGACGCTGGTCCATGCCGCCGTCGAAGTCGACGAGCGCGCGGACGATGGGGCTCGTGCCCAGCCGCAGCGCGTTCACGGCCTTGTCGCCCCAGCCGAGCTGCTCCGTGCGCGCGAAGGCCTGGAGCCCGGACACGGGCGCGCCCACGGGGAAGCGGAAGTCGAGCGCGCCGAGGTCGCCGCCGTCGTTGACGAACGTGTGGATGTGCTCCTTCATGCGGAGCAGGTCGTAGGACCCCGTGCGCTCCATGATGCCGAAGAGGTTGTAGTAGCAGCCGAAGAAGACGTGCAGCCCCATCTCGATGTGGTTCCCCTCCTTGTCGATCCACGAGCTCACCTTGCCGCCGACGAACGGCCGCAGCTCGAAGAGCTCGACGTCGTGGCCCGCGTCCAGCAGGTCCATGGCGCAGATCATGCCCGCGAGGCCCGCGCCGACGATGCCCACCTTGAGCTTCGACTCCGACACGACCCCGGGGCCGTCCCGCGCGCGGGCGCGCAGGTCCTTGTTGAGGAAGGCGTCGTTGCCCACCTGCTTCTTCGCCGACGCGCTCTTGATCTCCGGCTCGAGCGTCGCGGCGCGCGGCGGCGCGCCGCGGCGCGACGCGACGGAGCGCGCCACCGGCGCCCGGAGGGCGCCGACGGACGCGCCCAGGAGGGCGATCTGCACGAGGCGCATCATAGCTGGCCGGTCGATCAGAGCTTCAACAGCACCTTCGACTGCACAGTGCCTCTTTAGCCCCACCCCAGCGGCATGGATGCTAGCAGCCCCGGTCTCGAGACCATGATGGACCGCTAAGCAATCGATGGTGCGCTCGATCGTGCTCGCCGCGCTCGCGGCGCGCGCGGCCGCCATGAGTTGGAGTTTGCCGGCGGCGCTCGTGGACGACGACGCCCACGCCGTCTTCGGCGACGGCCTCACGATCCACGTGCACCTCGAGGCCGACGAGCGCGCCGCGTTGATCTACGTCGACGGCGCGCTCGCGCTCGAGCTGCCGGACAAGCGCTGGGCGCTGCTCTCGGAGCCGCCCTGCGAGGAGGGCACGGCGCCGCGGTGGACGTCGGGCGTGCTCCCCGTCGAACGCAACGGTGCACGTCGAGGTCGCGGTCCACGCGCTGCGCTGCGACGGCGGCGGCGTCTTCGGCGGCGCCGCGACCGTGGCCGTCGTCGTCGACGACGAGGACTGCGACGAGGACGTCACGGTCGTCGACGCGTTCACCTACTGGGACGAGCGCGACCACGTCGCGACGCGGCGGAGGGAACTGGCGGGTTTGGCGGACGTCCACGTCGCCGTCGAGGGCGACCGGTCCTTCCGCGGGGCCCCCAAGGCTTCCCCGCCCCTGGAGAGCTTCGGCAACGTCGTCGTCCACGCGACGGCGCTGAAGCCGCCGGCGCCGGGCGAGGACGAGCCCGACTACTTCGACCGCGAGGCCGCGCAGCGCGACGGCATCGCCGACGCCCTCGAGGCGCTGGGCGACGCCCTGGGCCTCGACGGCGACGACCTCGTCCTCGTCGGCGACGTCGACGAGGTGCCGTCCGCGCGCGCCGTCGCGGCGCTGCGGCGCGTTGCGGCGTGCGACAAGCGGCGCGCGCGGCGCGGCGAACCGCGGCTCCTCGGCACGCCGGCGACGCTGGCCATGACGCACCACCAGTACGCCGTCGACTGGGCCATGCCCCAGGCCTGGAGCCCCTTCTACGCGTGCCGCGTCCGCGACCTCGTCGGCGAGGCCGCGCGGTTCTCGCCGAACGAGGGCCGCTTCGTGTCGCTCCAGTCCGCGGAGGACTTCGAGTCCGTCGGGTCGGCGTCCTGGCTCTTCGCCGGCGCGGACAAGAGCCGCTTCCGCAACCAGAGCGTCCAGACCGAGTTCCGGAGCCTACTCCGCGACGGCGGCTGGCACCTGTCGTACTTCCCGCGCGACGCCGGCGGCGCGCCGGACGAGGCCGCGCGGCTCGACGGCGTGCTCGCGGGCCTCCGCGCCAAGCTGACGACGTTCAGCCACAGCCACTGGGGCGACGCCATCCTCGGCGGCGGCGCCTGCGCGTCGGACGCGCAGCTCCGCGAGGACGCGACGCTCGGGAGGACGCTCCACGAGGTCGAGTTCCGCTGCCGGGACCGGGCCAGGACGAAGGGCAACGTCGGCGTGGGCTGGGCGTCCCTGGACCGCTGGCACCTCGCCTACGCCGGGACGAGCCGCGTGCCCGCGGGGCTCGGGCCCTTCCACCGCGCGGACCCGCCGAAACGCGCGCACCGGGGCAGGAAAAGGGTGATTCAACGTCGCTTCAACGTGAGTGTTCCGCGCGCGCGTTCCAGAGAAAGCATCCACGCTTCGAGAGCGCTCCGAGGGATGATCGCTCGTCCCAAAATCAGCCGAAACGAGTCGAAAACGGCCGACAGAGAAGCCTTTGAAGTTGGGAATTTCGCACTCTTTTCCTGCCCAGGCGCGCACGTCGAGATCCATCTGGACGGCTTCGTCCAGGCCTACTGGCTCGAGGCGGCGGCGTTCCACGACGAGGCGTCGGGCCGCTTCGACGACTTCGCCTACCGGGAGGCGGCGCGGCGCGCGGCGTCGCTCGTCTGCTGCTCCTTCGGCCAGCCGCCGCTCGGCGCCGGGCCGACATCACATCTTCAACCCGACTTCAATGCGCGCGTATGCGACGGTTCCGACGCGAGGCTTTCTGCCGTGCTTCGAGAACTCGACACGAGCGATCGATTCGTCCGAAGATCAGCCGAATCGACTTCGATGTGACCGAGCTCGAGAGGTTTGAAGTTTGGCTGGAAGAACCCAACCAGTGGTTGATTTCGGCACAGGCTCGGCGACCTGACCTTCGACTGCGCGACGCGGATGCGGAAGCGGTTCGCCGACTCGGCGCGGCGGCTCTTCGGCGGCGGGTTCTCCCGGTCCTGCGGGCCCGTCGCCGACGACGCCGCGCTGGCGTCCGCGGCCGCGGCGGCCGTCGCGGCCGCGGCGGCGTCGCCCGCGGCGGCCGCCGCGGACGCCGTCGAGGCCTGGGCGCGGCGCCGCTGCGCGGGGCGCGGCGGCTGCTGCGAGGCGACGGCCCTGGCCCACGCGGGCGCCGCGGCCCTCGACGCCGCCGCCGCGGCGGGCGCGCGCGCGCGGCGGCTCGAGGAGCCGAGCGAGCTGCGGAACGTCGTCTCGGGCGCCGTCGAGCGCTTCGCGCCCGCGCCGGCGTCGCCCGTGCTCCCGCAGGCCGTCGCGGCCTGCCGGCGCTTCCTCGGCGGCGACGTCGAGGACTGCGGCGCGCGCCTCGCCGAGGACGCGCTGGCCCGCTTCGCGGCGCAGGGCCGCGGCGACCGGGGCCCCGCGCGGCTCTTCGCGGCGCTCGCGACGCGGCCGCGGACCGCCGGCGGCGGCGCCACCGCGCTCGGCGCGGCCGCGGCGGCGCTCGCGGCCGCGCGGCGCCCGGCGCCGGCGCCCGGCGCGCGCGTGGCCCTCGCGGCGCTCGCGTTCGCCGACCGCCACGACGTCGTGCTCAAGGCCGCGTACGCGGCCGCGGTCCGCGACGCGCTCGTCGGCGGCGGACCGGACCGCGACGCCGCGCGGCCCCTCGTCGCCGTGCTCCGCGGCGCCTACGTGCGGTCCCTCGAGGCCTGGAACGGCTGCCGCCTGTGTGGAAATCAACCGCTGGTTTGGGGGGTCCCCACCAAACTTCAGAACTCTCTATCTCAATCAAATCGAAGTCGATTCGGCTGATTTTTAGACGAATCAATTGCTCTCGTCGAGTTCTCGAAGCACAGCGAAAGATTCTGGTCCAAATCGTTCGATTACGCGCACATTGAAGTCGGGTTGAGGATTTGATTTCCACACAGGCTGCCGCGAGTCGTGCACGCTCGACTCGAGCCTCGACACGTGCGTCGTCAAGGACGGCTGCGACACCTTCGCGGCGGACTTCGAGGCGCTGGTCGTCGCCGTCGTCGGCGGCGCGGCCGTCCCGCCCGTGAAACTCCACTGGGACCCCGGCGCGGCGGGCTCCCGCCTCGCCGTCGTCCGCGACGGCGCGCACCGCGTCGCCGCGCGCCTCGCGGACCGCGCGGGCGACGTCGCCGCGGCGCTGGGCCCGCCCCTCGCCGACGGCGCGCTGGCCTGGTGGCGGGCGCAGACGTGGGACGCGGCCTTTTTTCGCGACGCGGCGCGCGGAGGCGCGGCGCGCGCGGACGCGGACGCCGCGCTGGCGATCCTCCGCTGGGTCGACGGCGGCGGCTTCTCCGCGGGGCACGTGACCGTCGCCGTGCTCTGGCCCGCGGCCTACGCCCTGCCGGGCGCCCTGGGCGCCTGGCGCGCGTGCGTCGCCGCCGCGGGCGGCGAGGAGCTCCTGGGCCGCGACGTCGCGTGGACGGCGCAGGGCGCGCGCGTGCTCGCGGAGCACTGCTACGGCGACGCGCCCTGGCTCGACTACAAGGTCGCGTCCTGCTTCCCCGGGCCGTCGCGCGTCGCGCGCGTCTCCGCGTCGCGGTTCCCCGCGCGCGCGTGGGCCGACGAGGCCAAGGCCGCGTTCCGGACCTGGTACGAGGCGCGGCCGGCCTTCGCGGGCGACGCCAAGGCCGCGGTCCACGTCGCCGACGGCGTCGACGACGCCCTCGGGCTCGCGGGCCTCGGCCTCAACGCGCACTCCAGGGCAGCAAAAGAGAGCGAAATTCCCAACTTCAAAGGCTGATATCTCGGCCGTTTTCCACTCGTTTCGGCTGATTTTTGGACGAGCGATCATCTCTCGGAACGGTCTCGAAGCGTGGATGCTTTTTCCGGAACGCGCGCGCGCGGAACACTCACATTGAAGCGACGTTGAATCACCCTTTTGCTGCCCAGGCGCACTCGGCGGACCTCGCGAACCTCGGGGCTCCCGCCGTCGCCCGGGACCTCGCGGCGCGCCTCGCCGCGAGCCTCCGCGGCGCGGCGGAGGGCGCGGCGCCGCCGCCCGTCGGCGCCGCCGACGCCGGCGGCGCGGCGCGCGCGCTCGGCCGCGTCGTCGTCGACTCGGGCGCGGCGCTCGCGGCCTGGGGCCTCCGGCCGCCGCCGGCGCCGGCCGCGGAGGTCGACGTCGTCGGCGACGGCGCCCTCGGCGCCGGCGAACCGACGGACGCCGGGGCCGGGCCCTTCGCCGCGCCGCGGAGCGCGCGCCTCGACGACCACGGGCCGGACTCGCCGTGGTTCGACCGCTACTTCGTCGCCGACGCCGCGACGCTCGTGCACGACCCCCTCGCGCACGCGCGCCTCTACGGGCTCAAGATCGCGGCCGTGCCCGTGCTCACGTCCCAGTACGAGCGGCGGGCCGGGGCGGCGCTCCCGGGCTCCAAGGACTCCTGGAAGGCCGCGGCGGACCTCGACGCTCTGCGCGAATTCGCGGAGCGGCACCCGGGCGGCTGGCCCGCCGGGCCCGCGGCCCTGGGGACCTACACGGACACGTGCGACGCGGTCCTCGCGCGGCCCTGGGCCGAGATCACGACCGAGCGCCGGGAGCTGCCGGAGGACCAGGACGGCGCGCGGTACTGGTAAAGTTTCCGAGTCGGCCGCGGGGGGTGAGGCTCGAGCGCGAGGAGACGTCCTCGCGTGCGGCACCGCGGACACGGCCGCGAGTCCGGAACGCCAAGGGGGGTCGAAGAGAGCGACTCGCCGGAGATGCTCGCTCGATTTGCCACAGTCGTCGGGACATCAAGCATCATCGTTTCGGCGAAACTTTCGCGTGCGACGCGGGCTTGGGGGGGTGCGTTTTAAGGCTTGTTTCGTGTTGCCCGCTCACTTCGCTCTCGACATCATGCTGCGCCGCCTCAAGAAGTTCGCGGTCTGCTCTTCGGTGATCGTCGCTGGCCAGGCCTCTCGCGTCGACGACGCGCCCTTCGCCGGGCAAGATGAGTCCGAGGACGCCAAGGGCCTGCTCCGTCGACTCTCCGAGTGCGAGGACGCTTCCTACGTCCAGATCTTCGACCGGTGCATCGACCCGGATACGACGAAGCTGCGAGTTCACCCCGCGTCCCCGACGCCCGGCGCGGCGCGCGACCGCCCCTCGGCGTCGCAGGGACCTCTGGAACAACGGGATCACCGGCCCGATCCCGACCGAGATCGGCCTGCTCACGGCGCTGAAGAAGCTGCGAGTTCCCCCCGCGTCCCCGACGCCCGGCGCGGCGCGCGACCTCGACGTCACAGGGACCTCGGCTACAACATGTTCAGCACGATCCCGACCGAGATCGGCATGCTCACGGCGCTGAAATACCTGCGAGTTCCCCCCGCGTCCCCGACGCCCGGCGCGGCGCGCGACCGACCCTCGGCGTCGTAGAGACCTCTACTACAACGAGATCGCCGGCCCGCTCCCGACCGAGATCGGCCTGCTCACGGCGCTGACGTTCGTGCGAGTTCCCCCCGCGTCCCCGACGCCCGACGCGCCGCGCGACCGCCCCTCGGCCTCGCAGGAGCCTCGACTACAACGAGATCGACACGATCCCGACCGAGATCGGCGAGCTCGCGGCGCTGGAGGGCCTGCGAGTTCCCCCCGCGTCCCCGACGCCCGGCGCGGCGCGCGACCGCCCAACGGCGTCGCAGGTACCTCGACAGCAACAAGATCAACGGCCCGATCCCGACCGAGATCGGCCAGCTCACGGCGCTGGAGGAGCTGCGAGTTCCCCCCGCGTCCCCGACGCCCGGCGCGGCGCGCGACCGCGCCTCGGCGTCGTAGGTACCTCAACAAAAACAAGATCACCGGCACGTTCCCGCTCGCCCTCTGCGACGTCGAGTACTGTTCCGCCAAGTCCGGCAACGACCTCGTCGCGCCGTGCGGCACGAAGGGCTGCTGCGATCTCGAGAAGGGGGAAACCTGCTCCTCGTCCGGCGGCGGCGACGCGTGTTCGGGACTCGCCAAGAAGACCTGCAAGAAGACCGCGGGCTGCGCGTACAAGAAGAAAACGTGCAGCTCCTCGTGCTCCGAGCTGTCGAAGGGCAAGTGCAAGAAGACCGACGGCTGCGACTACAAGAAGAAGCAGTGCAGCGCCGCCTCGTCGTGCTCCGGACTGTCGAAGAAAGAGTGCAAGACGACCGACGGCTGCGACTACAAGAAGAAGCAGTGCAGCGCCGCCTCGTCGTGCTCCGGACTGTCGAAGAAAGAGTGCAAGACGACCGACGGCTGCGACTACAAGAAGAAGCAGTGCAGCGCCGCCTCGTCGTGCTCCGGACTGTCGAAGAAAGAGTGCAAGACGACCGACGGCTGCAAGTACGAGAAAAAGAAGGACAAGTGCCTCGCCAAGTAGTGCGCCCTAGGGCCTGAGAAGAAGCTCGGCGAGGTCTCAAACACCGCCGCCCGCCGAGGCCCGCGTCGGGCCACCAGCCCGCCAACAGGCAAATAGGAGATTATATTATACGAGTACCTCCGCCCGCGTCCGCGCTGGGCGCTGGCCTCCAGAGGGGATTTCGGAGGAGCTACGCGTGAGCAGAGGGTCGTAGATCCGCGTCCTACGACCGGAGCTTGACCGCCGCGGCGGCGTCGTCGCGCGCGGCGACGTCGAGCGCGGCGCCGGGCGTCGACGCGGTCTCGATCGCGCCGTCGCGCGGGAACGCGCGCGCGTCGAAGCGGCGCGACGCCAGCGGCGGGGCCCGGGGGATCTCGGCGAGACGGCGCGAGACGAGCGCCTTGCCGAACGTTTCGTAGAGGGAGAGCGTGATCGCGGCGAGCGGCGCGAGGAAGGCGACGCGCGGGACGACGCCCTTCATCAACGCCGCCGCGCCCTCCTCGTTCACGATGGCGGCGAACGTGCCGGCGATGCCGCCCGCGCCGCCGCCCGTCATGAGGCGCGTCTTGACGACGTCGACGGGCGTCATGATGACGGCCGCGGTCGTGCCGGCGAGCGCGCCGAGCGCGAGCTTCTCGCGATTGCCGGGCGCGCGGCCGGCGATCGACTCGTAGTATTTTTTCGCCTGCCCGAAGAACATGAACGAGAGCGCGTTCCACGGCACGTCGCGCGAGATGGTCGCGAAATAGCCGCGGTAGAGGCCCCGGGGACCCTCGGTCCTCATGAGCGTCCTGACGCCCGCGACGACGTTCGGGTAGACGTCGGCCTGCACGCGCTGCTTGAGGACCTCCTTCGGGACGAGGACCAGCGACGCGCCGAGCGCGCCGAAGGCGCCGCAGGACATCTCGGGCAGCGCGCCCGTCATGTGTCGCCGCGCGAAGCGCTCCTTGGCCCACTCGTAGCACGTGAACTGCAACGCGCCGGCGGGGATGGCGAGCGCGAACTGCGGCGTGATGCCCTTGAGGAACGTCCGCGGCGCGAGGGCCGACGTGATGGATTTGGCCTGCAGCCGCGTGCGCATCACGTCGATCGGGTGGAGGCAGGTCTGCGCGACCGCGCGCGCGCCCGAGCCGGCGGCCATCCGGTCCGTAAAGGTCATCTGCGACCGCCACGACTTGCCGTCGACCGCGACGACGGCTCTGCTCGCGCGAGAGGACGCCACGCGCGCGTCCGCCGCCGCGAACGCGAGCGCCGCGAGCGAAACCACGAGCCTCATTGGGGTGCACGGCTGATCGTGCCCGCCTCGTTGCGGAACCAGAGGAGCTCGTCCGTGTCGCGGTCGCCGACGACGACTGGTGAGAACCTCGTGAGATTGATGAAACGTCAGGACACGCGCAAGTCGCCGAAGTCCAGTGGCAGCTCCTGTACGCCTCCGCCCTAGTCGTGTCCCCGTGGCTCTCCCTACGCCTCTCCTCGCCGTTCTCCCTCCCTTGATTCCTCCCTGTGCCGCGGCTAACTGGCAACAGGCGCGTATCTAGTATCGCCTAATGCGCTAGATACTGGTGAGTTTAGGCGAAGTGGCCGTCGAGGGCCGCGAGGACCGCGGCCCAGACGTCCTCGCGCGGCGCGGACACGGCCGCGAGGGCGCCGGCCATGGTGCCCGGCGCCGCGGCGATGTCGAGCTCCTCCTCGCTGGCGCAGTGGAAGACGCCCATCATCTCGCTGCAGCCGAGCCGGGTCGGCAGCGCGGGGCACCGCTCGCGCGACCGCGCGAAGACGTAGACCGCGTCGCCGAGGCCGCAGACGTTGTGCGGCGACCCTTGATCCGCCAGGGCCCCCACGACGGCCGCGAGGCCCGCGCCGAGGAGGTCCGCGTCGCGCGACCGGAGCCGGACCGTCGCCACGCCGTAGTCGAGGACCGCGACGTCGAGCGCGGCGCCGGGCGTCGACACGGTCGCGATGGCCCCGTCGCGTTCGAACACTTTTGTGTCGAAGCGGCGCGACGCGAGCGGCGGGGCCCGTTCGCAGGCGTAGGGCGCGAGGCTCGGCCACGCGTGGCAGTGGCAGTGGTTCTGGCTCGCGCCGGCTCCGACGCTGTTGAAGCACACGACCATCGTCGCGTTCGTCGACAGCGAGAGCGCGGCGAGGTCGAAGGCGTCGGCCCGCGTGAGCGCCTGCGCGCGCCAGTTGCGCTCGTCGTCGATCGTCGGCAGCAGCAGGAAGTGGCCGCGGGCGTCGCAGGGCGACACGTTGTCTGCGCGGGACGGACGAGTCGCGCCGTCGTTGTCAAACGCGGGGCGCGGCGTCGCGCGGTAGCAGTCCCACGAGGCGCGCAGGTAGGTCGCGGACTCGGTCGCGCCCTCGCCGGTCGAGGCCGCCGCGGGTCCGAACTTCGCAGCTCGCGGCCGCAGCTGCAGCCTCAGGTCGCCGGCCACGAGCGACCCGGGCTCGTAGGCCGGCGGCCGGCAGCTCGACGGCCCCGCGGCGGTCTCGAACGCCGGCGCCGGGCGCAGCGTCCGCACGAGCTGCAGCTGCGCCCGGAACGGGCCGTCGTCGCGCGCGGCGACGCCGGAGCCGCCGTCGAGCGCTTCGCTCAGCTCGAGCGCTCGCGCGCTCGTACCGCGCACGAAGAAACGGAAGTCGTCGCCGTCGAGCTCGACGCCGTAGGTCGCCGCGTCGCTGGCGGCTTCCACAGCGCCGTCGGCGACGAGGCCGTGCCACCGCGTGGACAAATCGATGCCAGCGATGCGGTAGTGCGCTGGTGCGATCGCTGCGGACATGGGCAACAATAGCAGCGCGCAAATTCGCGCAGTTCCGAGGCCCATCGCGCTGCACTACGGCAACGATAGCAGCGCGCAAATTCGCGCGATAGAGGGCGAGAATCGGCCGCCCATGCTCTCGCACTACTGCAACCAAATTTTGTTGAGTTTTTTTGTGGCAAAAAGAGATCAAAAAGATGGAGCCGGCCACAAAATGATTGATGTTTTTAGGTAGTGATGGTGCTTGCCAGAGCGCAAGCATGACGCCTCGACTCCAGCTCCTCGTTGCGTGCGCTGTGCGCGCCGCTGCGGCGTCGACTTGCGGCTCGTGCTGCCGGAATGCGTCGTCGGACGCGCCGCTGCACGTCGGCGTCATCGGCGCCGGTTTCGCCGGCTTGGGCGCAGCTCAGAGGCTCACCGAGCGGGGCTGCGCGGTCACCATCCTCGAGGCCCGCGACCGCGTCGGCGGCCGCGCCGAGACGCGCGCCGTCGGCGACTACGGCATCGACCTCGGTCCCATGTGGCTGCACGGCGTCCGGCGGCACCCGCTGCGCCCCTACGTCGAGCGGTACGGCATGACGCTGCGGCGGTCCGACTACGACTCCGCGATCGCCTACAACGGCAGCAGGAAGATAAACAGCGACACCGTGGACGCTTGGTACGACGCCTGGGACCGTGTCGTCTACCCGATCGTCGAGCGGCAGCAGGACGACACCGACGAGGACTCGGACCTCGCGTCCGCGATCTACGAAGCGGCGCGGAGCGCCGGCGCCCGCGCCGGCGCGCTGGCACACGCCGCCGTGCTGTCGTTCCTCGTCGTCGACAACATCGCGTTGGACGCCGCGGCCGACGCCGAGGACCTCTCCCTCTGGTGGTGGGACGCGGACAGCTGGCTCGACGACGACGTCGAGGACTCGGAGGACTCCGTGCTGCGGGAGGGCTACGGCACCCTCGCGGCCCGCATCGCCGCGGACGGCAACGCGACGGTGCTCCTCGAGCGCGTCGTCGACGGCGCGCGCGCGGAGGGCGACGGCGTCGTCGTGAGCGCCGCCGGCACCGACCTCGCGTTCGACCGCGTCGTCGTCGCGCTGCCCCTCGGCGTGCTCCAGGGCGGCGCCGTGGCCTTCTCGCCGCCCCTCGACGCCGCGGCGCTGGGAGCTCGGGGCGCCGGCGCCGCGGAGAAGTACGTGCTCGTGTTCGACGGCGCGTTCTGGCCCGACGAAGACTTTTTGTACACGTTGGAGCCGGCGCTCGAGTGGCTCAACCTCGACCGGGCGCTCGGAGTGCCGGGGTTGGCGTGCTTCACCGCGGGCGCGCTGGCGACGGAGCTCGGGGCCAAGTCCGACGCCGAGAAGCAGGCCTGGCTCGTCGAACGGCTGGAGGCGATGTTCCCGGACGAGACCTTCGCCGTCGTCGCCGCGGCCTTCTCCGAGTGGCACTCGGACGAGCGGACGCGCGGCGGCTGGTCCTACGTGAAGCCGGGCACGGACTACCCGTCGAACCACGCCGCGCTCTCGCGCCCCGTGCTCGGCGGTCGGGGGTTTCTCGCGGGCGAGTACGTCTCGAACTATTTCGGGACCGTCCACGGCGCCTGGCTCTCCGGCGAGGCCGCGGCAGATCTCGCAGTCGACGGCGCCGCGGGAAGCGACGACGACGACGACGACGACAGTCTGGACCTCGGCCTCGTCCTCGGCGTTTCGGCGGCCGCGGCGCTGGCGGCCGTCGCCGCGTGCCTCTACGTCCGCAAGCGGAGCAGTCGAAGCGGCGGGCTCCCCCCCGCCGCAGACGACGGCGTACTCCTCGCCATCAACGCCGGCGACAATAGCCGGGGACAATGCTAACACGAGTATCTACATTTGCAACTTCGTCGCGACCTCGGCCGCGAACCAGGGCGAACACTGCGACAGGTGACCGTCGGACGACTCGCTCCAGAAGAGGGTCTTGGCCGGCGACTGCTCGTAGTGGAAGATGTCGTCCAAGTCGCAAACGGCGCACCACAACTCGCCCTCGACGCCCCCCTCGTTCCAGTCCTTCATGAGGCCGCGCCAGAACGGGAGCGCGACGTCGCGCGGGTACGTGAGGACGAGCACGCGGCGCGGCGTCGACGCCGAGATCGCGAGGCAGAGCGCCTGGAACAGCGCTTTCCCTCGCCCCCCGCCGCGGACCGCCTCGTCGACGGCGAAGTCGACGACCTCGTAGCCGTCGTAGGCGCCATGCTCCGACGACGTGACGCCGAAGCGGTTCAGCGTCGCGGCCGCCTCGAGCGCGCCCTCGGCGCCGCGCAGCGCGACCGTCAGCAGGTCGTCGTCGTCCTCGAAGGCGCGGAGGCCGTTCGCGGCGTAGAGCTCCTGCACGGCCCCGTCGTCGTCGTCGTCGACGACGGCCAGCGAGAGCGACGAGCCGAGCGCCGCGGCGGCGAAGCGCGACGCCTTGTCGAGGTTCAGCGGCGCGCGCGGCGCCTCGGCGGCCGCGACCTCGATCCCCGCGGCGTCGCGCCGCGACCGCGAGCGCTTCTTGCGGTTCGGCGACTCGAGCTGCACCTCGCGCCGCGCGGCCGTCGCGCTCGCGGACGGCATGCCGTGCTCTAAATAGTATTCGCACGCGCGTTCGCAGTCCCAGTCCGTGAACTTGAGCAGACGCACGGCGGCACGCTCATCGATGGCGCAGGCCTCGGCGACAGCACGGACTTTTGTCTGGTCCCCCGGGGATTGGTAGATGGGCGGCGGCTCGGAGGAGGCGAGAAGAAGCGAGTCTTCGGCCATCACGTTCGCAACCACGCGCCGGGCCTGACGCTGAACCAGGCCGTACGGCGCGTCTACGAGATCATCGGGAACCAGGCCCTACGGCGCGTCTACGAGATCATCGGTCTTAGCGCAGTCGAAGAATGTCGAAGTTTCCCAATCAAGTTTGACCCGTGGCCAAGACCTCGATGTCTTAGCACTTTGCGAGGGCACAGACAGCGCGCTCGACGGCGACGAAAACAGCATGAGCATCTCTTTGTTGGACTCTGATCATGACGAGGCCTATGACTATGATACGGCTTTGGAAGACGACCGCGTTGCCGCCGCCGCGCTCGAGCTCGACGATTTCGAAACGCCCCCGGAGACGCCTTCTGCGCCGTCGTCCGCGCCGCGGCCGCTGGCGCTGGCGGTGATCGAGGCGGCTCCGCCGGTGATCGAGGCGGCTCCGCCGGCCGCGATCGCCGCCGACGCGCCCGCGGCTCCGGCGGCCGCGAAAGACGCGGCCGCGACGTCGCCGCGCGCGTGGAAGTCGAAGCAGTGGAAGACGCAGAAGGGCTTCGCGGCCTTCCTGCGCGCGCGGAACGCGGCCTGCTCCTTCCAGAGCCCGAACCCGAAACGCGCGCGGGGGAACAACCCGGCGGCCGTGGCCCGCTACGACGGGTTCATGTCCGCGACGACGGTCGGCGACTTCTTCGCCAAGGGCGGCACCATGGGCGACCTTCTGTACG